AGTTAATCTATTAGTGCAATCTGAGATGTGAAATGGTGTGATGCTATCTGGAACAGCCTGGACTACGATTTTGGATTATGTGATTTTAATAATTTTAATGCTGAAATGTTTTTAGCAGTTGTTTTAATGTATGTTTTATTTGCCGGATATGTGTTGTATGGCATCGAATTGTGCCTTTATGTGTGCTGCTCTGAGTCCCCTTTAGGGGTGAGAAGGGCGGGATATAAATATGGCAAATAAATAATAAACAAATATTTCCACAACCCATGTGGAAAACTTTGCTTTCTGGAGCAATTCAGAATATGGGATAAGGTATATTAAACCTGTACCATATTCTTGTTGCCATTTCATTCTATTTTTTTTTTCTGCTATGAGCTGTTAAATTATACATATTTTTTCTTGAGTATTCTCTCTAAGTTTACTATGTACTTGAATATGATTTTAGAGACCAGAGTTCAAATCCTCATTTGGATGACCTTGGACAATACATTCTCTCTCAGTCTCAGAGGAAGGCAAAGCAAACTCCTCCGAACAAATGTTGCCAGGAAAACCCCATTGCAATGTTGTCTTAGGGTCCCCATAAATTGAAAATAATCTGAAGGCATATAACAATAACAAAGTGAGTACAAGAATCCAGCCCTAGTTTCTAGTGCATGCCCTCATTGTATTACCCACATCATATATCACATGCATCTAGTTGTTTTCTGAGAATATTTATTCATATGGATTTCTCATGGTACTCCTTAGCAATAGTAAACATGCCAAAAAAGCTACTATACTTTTGCTCAACATCTTCAGAGCCCCCAGTGGTGCAGTGTGTTAAACCACTGAGCTGCTGAACTTGCTGACTGAAAGGTTGGTAGTTCGAATCCGGGGAGTGGAGTGAGCTCCCATTGTTAGCCCCAGCTTCTGCCAACCTAGCAGTTCGAAATCATGCAAATGTGAGTAGATCAATAGGTACCGATCTGGCGGGAAGGTAAGGGCACTCCATGCAGTCATGCCAGCCACATGACCTTGGAGGTGTCTGTGGACAATGCCACCTCTTCGGCCTAGAAATAGAGATGAGCACCAACCCCCCGAGTCGGACACAACTGGACTTAATGCCTGGGGAAAACCTTTACATTTACCTTTTACTTTCTGATATTGGCTCACAGAATGATTTAAAAAATAGAAGTAAAAAATATAGGTGTCCACTAATTCTAACAACAGAATTGAATAAGTACGCGCATTTCCAATCTCATATAAAATTGCTGCTGAGAAAATAGCTCATATTAGATATACAGACATTCTGTCTCATTGTACCCAAAATGAATTACTGGTGAATTGATTGAATACTTTTTTACCACCATAGTCTGGTTCCAATACTGATATAAAACCACTACAGTTTTGGCACAATATTCTGTTGTGTACAATAGTAATCAATGAAGGGCGTCATGTGCTCCTTGAGATCCTGTATTCCCCCCACCATAATACATTTCTGTAGATATTGAAGAAAAAGGCCAGGAAACTGTGACAGATTTTTATCTCTTGGGGCCATCAGATGCAAGTAGTAACTCTATGATGCTGATTAGATTAGGCTTTTAAGAGTTTAATAAAGGTCATATCTCTTGTTTGTACTTGACTCTTCCAATATTGCTTTTCCGTGGTCCTTCATGAACATCACTTTGTGTATAGAAAGGGATTCTCATTGTTGCATTGTAAAGATATCTTATTTTCTCTACATATAGAGAACATTTTGTACGTAAGGAAATGCAATATTTCCATCTAACAGACTAACAATTAATGCAATAACACCTGTTATATGAAATATAATTTACATAAAAGTAGTAAACTGCTCCAAAATCCCATAATCCCTTGCAAATCTGTAATATTAACTGTATATTGCATTTAATGATGTATTTTTTTATTTAAATGATTTTAGGCAGCATATTTTTGAATAAGCAGGAACAGTTATTCAGCCATCTGTTGAGAAAAAAGGCTCTTTCTTCTGATGTTGAACATAAATATTAGTTATATTTGGTAGCCAGATACCCGACTTAATTTGCCCAGAAATCTCATGATATTAATTTAATTTAAAGTAAAAATGGCAGGCATTGATAAGGCTATTGTCCTTTGCATTGTGTACAGATATATATGCTATTGACATTTAAAGGAATTTTTAAAACAGCATGGTACATATTGACTGATGGTGTGGAAAAGCCCTGGGGTAATTCTCAAAATGTGAGTAGCGAAATGTCATGGTTTAAATCTACGTTATTTGCTTGTGCAGCAAAATGATAACAGAAAGAACGATTGACTATAGTAACCGGAATGTAATTTTGCATTTTAAGGTATACAACAACTATTTGCTTCTTTTAAGTTTGCAGTGCCTTTGATCTGTCAACTTCGTGGTGCTGAATATTTTTCCAATAGACTGTTGAGCATATGGAATAGCTTTTCAAAGGGATATTTTCACTGTAAAGTACACATTATACTCATGTTGTGTGTGCAGAACAGCTTTTTAAATTTATCAGACACTTTCTGGAACCATACGAACTAGCTTTTAAGTATTGTTATGGAAATTTCTTACCAAACTACATTTCCACAGTGTAACAACTTGTAATTAATACACTTCACAAAACTTCAAAGCTGTAAACAGAATATATCTTAATTTATTCCCAAACTTTTTTTTACTTTTCTTCTAAAGTGGGCTCAATTCAACTACTGGTCCAGGAGACAGCCAGAATCATGGTGAAATCAGTAGCTACAGATTTATGTCTTTATGACTAGCGGATGATACTTTCTAAATTGGAATACTTGCATATCTATGGAAATAAAAATGTAATGTTCGTTTGTGGAGTTAACATAATTCAAAAACCACTGGACAAATTGACATGAAATTTGGACACAATACACTTACCAGGCCAACAAGTGACCATCACTCATAAGAACACTGAAAAACACAACAGAAAGGACTTAAAAGGCCAAAAAAGCAAAAAAGATGCTACAGTGCATGCGCAAAACAACTCCCCCTGGCAAACAAAACACACAAAAGCATATTCACACTCACTTTGGGACTACATTCTCCAGCATCCCCTAGACCAGGCCCTTTAGGAGAGGATGATGATGATGATGATAATAATAATAATAAACTTTATACCCTGGCACCATCTCCACAACGAGGACTCGGAGCGGCTTACATTCCAGAATTCCAGAGTTGGGGGGGCCACAGAGGAGAAGGCTCTCTCCCTTGTACCCACAAGGTGAGTCTGAAAGACTGGCAAGGGCGAAAGGAGAGGTAGAGAAGGAAAGAAGGGGAGAAATAGGAAGGGAAGGGAAAGGGAAGCTGGAAGGGAACAGGAAGGGAATGGAAGGAAGGAAGGAAGGAAGGAGGAGAGAAGGAAAGAAAAAAAGGGAAAGGAACGAAGGAAAGTGAAGGAAGGAAGGAGAGAAAGATGGAGGGAAGGTTGGCCACAGCAACGCATGGTGGGTACAGTTAGTATATAAAATAAATTGATTAGGCTGAGAGGAGATATGATAGCCATGTATAAATATGTGAGAGGAAGTCACAGGGAGGAGGGAGCAAGCTTGTTTTCTGCTTCCCTGGAGACTAGGATGCGGAACAATGGCTTCAAACTACAAGAAAGGAGATTCCACCTGAACATGAGGAAGAACTTCCTGACTGTGAGAGCCGTTCAGCAGTGGAACTCTCTGCACTGGAGTGTGGTGGAGGCTCCATTTTTTAAACAGAGGCTGGATGGCCATCTGTCAGGGGTGCTTTGAATGCAATATTCCTGCTTCTTTGCAGGGAGTTGGACTGGAGGGCCCATGAGGTCTCTTCCAACTCTATGATTCTATAGTTCTATGACTAGCATTGAATGGCCTAGGTCTGTCTTCTTACTGGGGTTGCCTTTGAAGACTGCTCGGAAACTCCAACTAGTCCAGCGGGAGGCAGCCAGATTGCTCACCGGAGCGGCATACAGGGAGCATACCACCCCCCTGTTGTGTCAGCTCCACTGGCTGCCGATCCAATTCCGAGCACAATTCAAAGTGCTGGTTTTGACCTACAAAACCCTATACGGTTCTGGCCCAGTGTATCTGTCCGAACGGATCTCCCTCTACGTCCCACCTCGGAATTTAAGATCTTCTGGGGAGGCCCTGCTCTCGACCCCGCCTCTATCACAAGTGAGGCTGGTGGGGACGAGGAGCAGGGCCTTCTTGGTGGTGGCCCCTCACCTGTGGAACTCACTCCCCGGGGAGATTAGATCAGCGACTTCCCTTTAGTCATTCAGAAAAAAGTTGAAGACCTGAATGTGGGACCAGGCTTTTGGACATTCTGGCAGCTAAAGGAAAGACCTTGATGATGGGCAGGAATTGACAGAATGGAATGGATTTATGGAACTCTGAACACTGAGCATGAGATTGTTTACTATTGTGTTATGCACTGATGATTTTAACCTGTTAACTGTTTAATTGCTTTTATGTATGTATGTATATTTGACATAGGCATCGAATTGTGCCTTTTTTGTAAGCCGCCCTGAGTCCCCCCTCGGGGGTGAGAAGGGCGGGGTAGAAGTAACTGAAATAAATAAATAAATAAATAAATAAATACTGCCTGGGGGAATCCTTTGTTGGGAGGTGATTAGCTCTCCCTGATAGTTTCGTGTCTGGAATTCCCCTATGATTGTGTGTTGTTCTTTATTTACTGTTATGACTTTACAGTTTATTTTAATACTTGCAGCCAGATTGTGTTCATTTTTACGCTTTCTTCCTTTCTGTTGACATTGTCTTGTGGATTTCAGTGGCTGGGATCAGATCCTGGGAGAGTGGGTCTGTCTGGAAGGGTCCTCTGCCTAATTGTTTGGGCACATTGGGGGCTCTCCTTTCGCTTAAGAGCCCCACCAGTAGCACCCGCAGCTGGCAGGCTTGGAGGAAACGCCTCCTGGGGGCTGCCTCTCCTCCTCCCTTCGCCTCCTCCTTTCTTTTCTTTTCCTTTCCTTCCTTCCCTGGGAGGAGGAGGAGGAGGAGGAGGAGGAGGAGGCGTTAGCAAGCTCCGCTCCCCAAATGCCGGGCCCGCCTTGGCACATGGAGACGGGAGCCGCGCTCTTTGGGGCAGGAGGAAGCCCCCTTGCCCCTTTGGAGCCGAAGCCCGCCTGCCTCCTCCTCCGCTCGGCTTCCTTTGTGCGTGCGTGGGTCTAGAGCGGTGAGAGAGTGCTTGTGTGGCGGAGGTGGAGCCGCTCGCTGCCTCTCTCTCTTGTCAAGCCTCGGCGGCGGAGGGAGGGACGGAGCGGAGCGGAGCGGGCGAGGACAGGCGCCTTCCGAGTTCCCCGCCTTCCCAGAGAAAGGGACCTGGACGAAAGAAAGGCGCAAAGCCACCGCCAGCAGCACCAGCAGCACCAGCAGGAGGAGCGCCGTCTTGTTGGCTTCAGCGGCGAGCCAAGCCCTCACGGGTGCTGCTGCTGTTTCTCTCCCCCCGGCTCCAGCCCTTTGCCATGGGGTGGGGGCCTCCGCCGGAGAGCAGCAGCAGCAGCAGCAACACCTGGACTAGTCACTGAGAAGCCCCGGGCAAGGAGGATGGCCACTTCCAGCAACTCCAGTCTCTCCGGCTCCTCGGTTTCCTCGGGTAAGTTTGGAAGCCGCCTCGCCTCTCTCTTGTCCCTGTCTTCTCTCCCACTCCGCTCATCTCTCAACATTGTTACTATAGATGAGAAGGAGGTCCTCCCCTCCCTGTGCTTGTGTCTCCCACTTAGTCCCAACTTAGTCCAAGGTACAGCTGATTTGTAACCTTTTTACTTTAGGTCTGGGGTCTGAGAAAGTGCTTCTCCCTTTTGTCCCTGGCTTCTCTTTTCTTCAGTCCAAAATATAGTTGGTTTCTAACCTGTTTCCTTTAGGGAAGGATGAGAAAGTGCTTCTCCCTTTCGTCCCAGACTTCTCTCTTCTTCAGTCCAAAATATAGTTGATTTCCAACCCTTTTCTTTTAGGGAAGGATGAGAAAGTGCTTCTCCCTTTTGTCCCTGGCTTCTCTTCTCTTCAGTCCAAAATGTAGTTGATTTCCAACCCTTTTCCTTTAGGGAAGGATGAGAAAGTGCTTCTCCCTTTTGTCCCTGACTTCTCTCCTCTCCAGTCCAAAATATAGTTGATTTCCAACATTTTTCCTTTAGGGAAGGATGAGAAAGTGCTTCTCCCTTTCGTCCCTGACTCCTCTCTTCTTCAGTCCAAAATATAGTTGATTTCTAACCTTTTTCCTTTAGGATGAGTTATGAGAAAGTGGTCTTCCCATTTGTCCCTCACTTCTCTCCTCTTGAGAACCTTGGGAAGTTTGACTTGGCCACGGTGGTCCACGCTTTGGTTACATCCCATTTAGATTACTGCAACGCTCTCTATGTGGGGTTGCCTCTGAAGACTGCCCGGAAGCTTCAATTAGTCCAATGCGGCAGCCAGACTACTAACAAGAGCGGGGTACAGGGAGCATACTACTCCTCTGTTGCGCCAGCTCCACTGGCTGCCAGTTAGCTTCCGAGCACAATTCAAAGTGCTGGTGTTAACCTATAAAGCCCTAAACGACTCCGGCCCAATTTACCTGTCCGAACGTATCCTCCCCTATGAGCCATCAAGATTACTAAGATCGTCTGGAGGGGCCCTGCTCTCGATCCCACCGGCCTCACAGGCGCGGCTGGTGGGACGAGAGACAGGGCCTTCTCGGTGGTGGCCCCTCGACTCTGGAACTCCCTTCCACTGGAGATCAGAACTGCCCCTTCTATCTGTTCAGGAAACAGGTGAAAACTTGACTTTGGGGATTGGCATTCGACGAATGTGCCAGGATCCTGTGATATGGATGGATGGCGATGAATAATGATTTTTGATAACGACTGAACACTTTAATTATATGATTGTATTTTGCTATTTTAATGTTTTAGTGTGATTTAGAATATGATGTTTTAATGACTGTCTGTAATATTGATGTTGGAAACCGGCCTGAGTCCCTCGAACGGAGGTATACAAAACTGCTAAATAAATAAATAAATAAATAAAGTCCAAAATATAGAATCATAGAGTTGGAAGAGACCTCGTGGGCCATCCAGCCCTACCCCCTGCCAAGAAGCAGGAAAACCACATTCAAAGCACCCCGGCAGACGGCCATCCACCCTCTGTTTAAAAGCCTCCAAAGAAGGAGCCTCCACCACACTCCAGGGCAGAGAGTTCCACTGCTAATAATAATAATAATAATAATAATAATAATAATAATAATAATAATAATAATAATAAGGAGCCCCCAGTGTCAGGAGAAAACCTTTACCTTTAATAATAAAATAATAATAAAACTTTATACCATGCCACCATCTCCCCAAAGATACTCTGGGCGGCTAACCTGAGGCCAAATAATTACAATAAAGCAAAGTAAAGTGCATAGAAAAACAGACGATAACATCAAATAAAAATGCTTAACAATAACATAGTAATGCAATAAAATAATGATAATAATATAATAATAACAAAGTATAAAATTTCTAACCTTTTTCCTTTAGGAAAGGATGAGTTATGAGAAAGTGGTCCTCCCTTTTGTCCCTCAATTCTCTCCTCTTGAGTCCAAAATATAGAATCATAGAGTTGGAAGAGATCTTGTGGGACATCCAGTCCAACCCCTTGCCAAGAAGCAGGAAAATTACATTCAAAGTTCCCTTGACAGATGGCCATCCAGCCTCTCTTTAAAAGCCTCCAAAAAAGGAGCCGCCACCACACTCCAGGGCAGAAAGTTCCACTGCTGGTAATAATAATAAGGAACCCCCACTTAGACCAAGGTACAGTGCATTTCTAACATTTGTAGTGTAGGGAAGAACTGAGGTATGATAATGAGGTCCTCTCCTCCCTGTTGCTCCTCTCTTCTCTCCCATTCAGTTTATTTCTAGCATTTTATTTTAGGAAAGAGTGAGGTCCACTCCCTATTGTCAATGGCTTCTCTCCCACTCAGGGCCCTTCCACACAACCCTGTATCCCAGAATATCAAGGCAGAAAATCCCACATTATCTTCTTTAAACTGGAATATATGGCAGTGTGGACTCAGATAACCCAGTTCAAAGCAGATTTTGTGGAATTTTCTACCTTGATATTGGAAGGGTCCTCAGTCCCAGATGCAGTTTAATCCTTAGGGAAGAATTGAGGTATAAGAATGAGGTTTTCTCCTCCCAGGGCCCTTCCTCACAGCCCTATATCCCAGAATATGAAGGCAGAAAATTCCACAATGCATGCTTTGAACTGGGTTGTCTGAGTCCATACTCAGATAATGTGAGATTTTCTACCTTGATATTCTGGGATATAAGGCTGTGTGGAAGGGCCCACAACCATATAACCCAGGGCCCTTCCACACAACCCTACATCCCATAACATCAAGGCAGAAAATCCCACAATATCGGCTTTTAACTTGGGTTATCTGAGTCCACACTCCAAAAATGTGGGATTTTCTTCCTTAATATTCTGGGATATACAGCTGTGTGGAAGGGCCCCAAGAATATCAAGGCAGAAAAATCCCACAATATCTGCTTTCAACTAGGTTATCTGAGTCCACACTCAGATAATGTGGGATTTTCTGCCTTGATATCCTGGGATATAGGCCTGTGTGGAAGGGTCCTTGGTTATCTGAGTCCACACTGCCATATACCCTAGTTCAAAGCAGAAAATGTAGGATTTTATTCAGCTGTGTGGAAGGGGCCCTGTTGCTTCTCTCTTCTCTCCCATTCAGTTTATTTCTAATATGCTTAGTTTAGGGAAGAATCAAGTCATGAGAATGAGGTCCTTTCCACCAGCACTTCTCTCTCACTCAGTCTCAGGTACAATTTATTTCTAACATTTTTAGTTTAGAGAAAAATTAAGGTATGAGACTGAGGTCCTCTCTTCCTGTGCTGCTCTCCTATTCAGTCCCAGGCACAGTTTACTTCTAACATGTTTACTGTAGGAAAGAATGGGGTATGCAAATAGGATCCGCTCCTACCTGTTGCCCCTTGCTTCTCTAACATTTTTTGTTTAGGGAAGAATGAGGTCCTCTCCTCCCTGTCGTTCCTTGCTTCTCACCTACTTAGTTCAAAGTACAGTTTATTTCTAACATTCTTACTGTAGGGAAGAATGAGTATGCAGATGAGGTCCTCTCCTCCCTGTTGCTCCTCTCTTCGCTCCCATTCAGTCCAGGATTCAGTTCATTTCTAACATTTTTAGTTTAGTGAAAAATGAGGATCAAGTCGTGCTCTGCTACCCCAGTCTGTACTGCTAACATGTTTCTGTATTGTAATTACAACTTCAATTACAAACAGGGTTCTTTACAAAAATAAAGCTATTCGTGTAGAAAACAGAAAGCTGTTTTATGTCAAGTGAAACTGTTGTTTCCTGGAACACAGTCTCCTATATACATCATGGCAGCTCGCCAGAGTTTTAGATGGTAGTCTTTGGGTACATCTACACCAGGCATGGGCAAAATTCAGATCTCCAGATCTTTTGGACTTCAACTTCCACAATTCCTAACAACCTACTGGCTGTTAGGAATTGTGAGAGACGAAGTCCAAAACACCTGGAGGGCCGAAGTTTGTCCATGCTTGATCTACACTGTAGAATCAATGCAGTTTGACATCAGTTTAACTACCATAGAATCATGGGAGTTGTAATTTAACAAGGTCTTTAGCTTTCTATGCTAAAGTGTGCTAGTGATTCACCAAATTAGAAGTCGGAAAATTCCATAACATTGAGCCATGGCAGCTAAAGTTATGTCAAAATGTGTTTGATTCCACAGTGTAGGTGCACCCTAGATAAATATTACATGCATTGGTTCAACTTTCCAGCATTTGTGATGTATATAATATTGAATGAACCACCTGCCTAAGTTATTTTCCCAGTACTCTCTCTCACACACACATACCTGTACCGAATACAGATGTTTGTAGAGGCTGCGTATTTGTTATCAGAAGTGCTTGGGACTAGAAGTGTTCCATAGGTTGAAATTTTGTTTTGGAGGGAGGGGTTTTGGAACACTTGCATTGATATGATAAGATATATTGGAATTAAGACCCAATTCTAAACTAAATTCATTATTGTTTCATATACACTTTTGACATGTGGCTAGAAGGTACTTTTATGCACAATATTTGTAATAATTTTGTGCTTGAAACTAAGTTTGTGCACATTGAGCCATCAGGCATCACTATCTCAACTACCCATGTGAACACCTTTGGATTTTGGAGTACTTCAGATGTCTGGATAAAGGATACCGAAACTGTATGAAGTCTGGAAATAAACCTAGTCCCAACGAATAGTCTAAGGTGGCTGTACGGCTTGAGTATTTTATATGCAAAATACACAGGATCAAATGTGTTTGGGATTTTTTCCAAGTTTGGAAGACTTGCATAGGCATAATTAGTGTATTGGAATTCTGGATAAAGGATATTCAACCCGTATCCTTCGTTATATGCAAAATGTAGAGAAGGATAGATGCGTGCTTTTCTGTACACCTGAGCAAAGGAGCAAGAGTAGAAAAGTCTAGCATCCTAAAGCTTTCTCCCTTTTTTTTATCTCAGTTCCAGTCTTCCAAAAGTCTCTGATTACACATCTTGGCAATAATATGTGATGTATTAGTTAGTGGAA